AATGATTGAGGCAGCTTAAGTGCTCATCAACTAAAGAATGGATAAACAAACTGTGGTACATACACACAATGGAATATTACGTTACCTTGAAGAACAACAAGGAAGCTATAAGCTACCACATAACATGGATGAACCTCGAGGACATTATGTTGAGTGAAATTAATCAGTCACAAAGGAGAAATACTGCATAGGGCCACTACTGTAAAAGACTAAGAAAATGAGCCCATACTAAAGAGGGGGAAGGAGGACTCTTTGCTGGTTACCGGGATGTGGGAAGTGGGGGTGAGGGGAGGGAGGGGAAAGTGGAGCACAGGGTACAGAATAGACACAGGATAGTTTGGGTGCTTAGGGAGGGGGCAATATACAAGAAGGGGGAAGAGAACGGAAGAACAAGGCAGATGGGAAACAATTAGGCAGGTTTGCATGGGCTAAACAGGACAAAGGTAAATAATGATGTATGTACAACCTTGGAACAACAGGGCTCTGGAATACAGGGATTGAGACATGGTTAGAATGGGCAAAAGGGGGGAATAATGTTAAAATGCTTGGCTGTCTTTTGAATCTTGGTTTCCCTGGCATATCATTATAAAACAGACACTTGAGAGGGAGAGAAAGGAATAGCCAGAAATATCACCATAGAAAGCTTGTAAGTCTGCCTTCTGCCTACAACTGGAATACCTAAAACGGGTCTACAACGTGCCCAGTGAAGGAGGCTTCCTGTAAAGCCTCTGCATTACATAAGACCATAGGTGGAATCCTGAATCCCATCAAGAATCTTCTGAAGTGGTAAATTTCCACTTGAAAGGACAAGCAGACAAGTCTGGAGTAACTAGAAGGATAGAAGATACTTCTTGAAAGAAAGACCTACAGGAAAAATACAAACCAATAACGGCAGTCCAACTGATTACTACAAGAACAAGCAAGTTGCTCTCCCAGGAGACATCAAGGCAAGTGGTCGGGTCCCCTCAGGGCAAACTCCCTTCCAAGACTAAGGCTCAATGAGAATACACGAGCAGACATGCGCTCTGACTAGTGACAACATTCGTCACTGATACGGGGAAGTGAGGGAAAAACAGCAATGAAGCAGCCAGTTAAGCCCTACAACGTTCAATAGACTCCAGTGAACCCGGGTGGAGACCTGGTTGGCCAACAGTGTGTTAAGACCTGGGGACTGCTGGGCCCAGAGTCAGTGACAAAGCTACAGAGGACTAGAGTGGAGAGTGAAGTATCCAGCTGATAAGAAGAGAGGACATATGCATAAGAACACCCACACTTGCAGATAATACCCATTTGACCCGGATCCAATGGCTGGATGATCAGAGCTCAACTAGAAGAAAGAAGAGGAAAAAAAGAATAATCTGATACAATTTTATGCACTTGACCTACACCTATGGATGCAGTAGCTCAAAAGAGGGAACAAATCTTTACAGCACGGATGATTTGATTCTCACCCCCTCCATACACAGAGTAGACAGAGATAGGCAACTTGGACATTAGCTACCCAAAATGGGGGTGCTACAAAGGCAAGAAGTGACTGGCTTACAAGCTTTCAAGAGGGAGCCTAGATCCAGAAGGTGCAGAGGAAGGTAGAATCTCCACTGAATAGTATCTAATCTGTCTGGGCGGGGCTGATGAAAGGAGATGGGGATAGGTCCCTTGTGGTACAATGGTGAATAATTGCTATCAGGACTGACTGCGAGGGTTGGAAATGTAAAGGAGGATGTTTTGTAGCAAAAGGAGGGGAGTGATTGACTTTGCAGTCCTGGAGCTGAGGTCCTTGGCTCCATCGAGGGAGAAGAGCAGAGTGCGAGACCCTACCCAGAGAAGAAGTGACGCCAGAGATGGAGACAGAGATGATGAAGTAAACAGATGGAGTGACTGGGGACTTTAGACCCAGAGAGGGAGAGGGGCTGGGTGCTGATGATTGGGGGGCAGGCTTGCAGGGTATATATGCCCTTTGGTTGGCTGATGATGCATGGAGGGGACTGTAAACATGGAAACACGGCAAGGAAACAATATACGATAGGATGTATATTAGTAAAGCTAATGTTTTAACATTAAAGATTAGTAAAGCTAATGTTCTCCTATGTAAACTATCACATAATTCACAATAAAACATTTTTTTAAAAATTTTTTAAACTGTAAAAAAAAAGCAATATTACTTATAAACTGCTACAGAGATTACCTCAAACTGAAACATATCAATACTCTTAGACATCAATACAAATGGAGCTATGAGAAGCCAAATCGCTCAAGTGGAGGTGCTGATGTAGAAAAACACTGAAACAAAAGAAAGAATTGTTCCTACAAGACAGAGCACATTTTACTATGAACCTGATCAAAAAGCAACTAGAAGAAGGTTTCCTGCAGAGCCTCTGAATTACATAAGACTACAGGTGGAATCCTGAACAGCTTCCAGAATCTTCAGAGGTGGGAAATTTCCACTTGAAAGGATGGGCAGACCAGCCTGGAGTGGCTAGAAGAACAGAAGATACTTCTTGAAAGAAGGACCAACAGGAAAAATACAAAACAATATCGGCAGACCGACTGTTACTACAAGAACAAACAAGTTGCTTGTCCAGGAGACATCAAGGCAAGTGGTCAGGTCCCCTCAGAGCAAACCCACTTCCAAGACTAAGACTCAATGGGAATACACGCTGATTGATGACCACGTTCGTCATCGATAAGGGGAAGTGAGGGAAAAACAGCTGTGAAGCTGCAAGCTAAGCCCTAGAATGTTCAATAGACTCCTGTGAACCTGGGGGAAGACCTGGTTGGCCAGCAGTGTGGCAAGACCTGGGGACTCTTGGGCCCAGAGTCAGTGACATAGCTACAAAAGACTGGAGTGGAGAGTGAAGTGCCTAGTTGGTAAGAAGAGAGGGCATACGCATAAAGAACACCCACACTTACAGATAATACCCATTTGACCTGTCTTCAATGGCTGGATGATCAGAGCTCAACTCGAAGAAGAAAGAAGAGGGAAAAAAAAGAGTAATCCGATACAATTTGATGAACTTGATCTACAACTATAGATGCAGTAGCTCAAAACAGGAAACAAATCTTTACAGCAAGGACCACTCCCATCCCCTCCATACACAGAGTAGACAGGGATGGACCAACTGGACATTGGCTACCCAAGATGGGGTGGAGGGGCCTACAAAGACAAGAAGTGACTGGCTTACAAGCTTTCAAGAGGGAGCCTAGATTCAGAAGGCATGGAGGAAGGTAGAATCTCCACTGAGTAGTATCCAAATGAAAGGAAATATGGATAGGTCTCTTGTGATACAATAGTGAATAATTGTAAACAGGACGGCTGAGGGTTGGATATGTAAAGGTAGACATTTTGTAGCAAAAGGAGGGGAGTGATAAACTTTGCAGTCTAGGAGCAGAGGTCACTGGGACCATCAAGGAAAAAGATCCAGAGTTCGAGAACCTACACAGAGAAGCAGTGATGCCAGAGATGGAGGCAGAGACGATGACATGGAGAGATGGAGTGGCTGGGGGCTTTAGACCCAGAGAGGGAGAGGGGCTGGGTGCTGACGATCGGGGGGGCGGGGCCAGGCTTGCAGGGTATACCCTTTGGTTGCTTGATGATGCATGGAAGGGATTGTAATCATGGCAATGAAATGATCTACACAGGATGAATGTAAAATTAATGTTCTCCCATGTAAACTATCATATAATTCACAATAAAACATTAAAAAAAAAAAAAAACTAGCATTACCTTCATAGACGTCCTCCTCGTCCTTTTCCTGTTGATAGATCTGTTCTTGGACAGGATTCTTCCTGTAAATTCGTCCATCAATTCTTAGGAGCTGAGGGCGCAGAATATCCATGCTTCTTTCTCCAAATAATATTCCAGTGAAAACCTGAAAAATATGGTAATAACATTACCTTTCATTTGAGACAAATGTGAAAAATCATTTCCTGTATAGGGAGCATATGTAGGCCTGAATGGACATAACTGAGCATGTTAAGGCAAGCCAGTATAGGCCACTGCCTAATAAACTGTACACTAACCACTATCTTAGGAAACAAAGGTTCCTGAAGGCTAGCTATGTTCAACCAAAATCCCTCGAAGTCCAAAACACTGAAGAGCTCACAGCTCATCCTAAACAAGCACTTATTTAATTGAGGATCCCATTTCCATTAGATTTCCTCCATCTGTAAACTGCTGTATTTTCCATCACACCGTTGTTGTTAAGTGATGTCATGTCAATTCCAACTCACAACAACCCTGTATACAGTTTCCGAGGAATGGTTGGTGAATTTGAACTGCCATTCTTGTCGTTCAAACCAACCTTGTGGTTAAGTGCTTATCCTACAGCGCCACACCAGAACGCTACAATATTACATTCCAAATTAATTCTAGACAGAAATGTAATTTGTAAATTATTTTGTCCACCCTCAAAAAAGGCTGACTTTTAATAACTTTCAAAGTCCAAGACTTTGAAAGACAAAAATAGAGTTCTCTTTATTACTTTAACACAACTGGAATAATTTGCAACCTTCTGCATTAGCTAACAATTAGCAAAGTGAAAACTGTTTCCCCCTTTCTAACCAGCATGATAATCAAGAAAATTGTGAATATTTAATAATCTCTTTTTTGTTGTTGTTGTTGTTAAGTGTTGTCGAGTCAGTTCCAACTCAGAGCAACCCTGTATAGGGTTTCCAATGAGTGGTTGGTGAGTTTGACCTTGTTGTTAGCAGTCCAATGCTGATCCTACAGCACCACATCAGTTAGCAGCTCTTTTATATCACAAAAAGCATTCTGGTGTGGTGCTGCAGATAAGCATTGGACTACAAACCACAAGGTTGTCGGTTCAAACCCATCAGCTGCTACTGAGAAACCCTATATATGTTCACTATGAGTCGGAACTGACTTGATGGCATTTAACATGGTGGTTCTGTAGGGAAAGCAACAGACTGTGAACCACAAGGTCAGTGGTTCAAGCCCACCAGCCGCTCCAGGGGAGACTGATGAGGTTTTCTGCTCCAGCAAAAATTTACAGCCTAGGTCTCAGAACCAACGCAACAACATGGTTCCTGGTAGTTAAGTCACTCAACTGCTAACCCAAAAGTAGATCATTCTAGGCCACCCAAAGGAAGGTGATCTACTTCCCAAAAACCTATATTGGAAAACCCTATTTACACTGATGATATACTCTGATACATGGGATAATCAGAATGGACTCCAAGGCAAATGGATTATGATATGAAACATGTATTTAACAACCAAATCCAGTTGCCTGTCTCAACAATTTACAGTCTCAGAACACTAAGGAACAGTGAGTGCTACTATGTCCTATAAAGCCACTATGAGTCAGAATGGATTTAATGGTAGTGAGTTTGTCTCAAGACAACAAACTCATCATCTATACCTTTGCTTAACGCTACAACACAACAGAAAAGAAATGCAGAAAGGATAGCAATATCGAGGAGGAAACTGAAGCCCTGAGTTGTAAAAACTAGCAAAAAATAAATAAAAAAACAGTAAGCCACAACGAATGACCTGAAAAGGGCTCAACGGCGCCAAACTAAGGAAATGGATCCAGAGGAAGGATTTGGAGGTGCCCAAGTAGGGTGAATCCACACCTGCCTGTCTCCGCCCTAGCCACGCCCACCGCTGTACGAGCACGCGGCCGCTTCCCTCGGCACGGGCGCGAGCACGTTGCCGTCCTCCTCGTTTTGAGCGTGGTCGCTCCGGCTGGCCCTGGGGGCGGGGCTGTCGGGGAAAGTGCCAAATCCGTTGAGGTAAGTGAGAGAGTACACAATGACCCTCCGGAGCTTGTTGGGAAGAGAGTTTATTCCTGGGAGCCTACCTGCAAGGATTAGAAAAATGGAGAATGAAGGAGGAGAAACAGGAGCCTTCCGCAGCGGAGGCGTAAAAGGAATTTTCCTCAGGCCACGTCGGACTGAGTGCGCATGCGTGCCTCGGACTGGCGCCTGCGCGGTTGGATGGTCTGGACGGCGTCTACGATTCGGGGCCGAAGCCAGTCGGCTAGCGTGGCTTGGGGCTAGTTTGTGAGCGGCTGTTACCCTGACCCCTCCCTCAGCTCTTTTCTCCACCCTACCCCATTTTAGCTGCAGTTTGTAATGTATTTGACTTGGATTGTAATCCGCCTGTTTTAAATTAATACAGTGGAACAATTTGTTGATGATGGAATTTAATGGTTACTTATAATAGCTGCCTTTGTATTGTTATTCAGAATTATAAGGAAAAATCCCTTTTTAAGAATACGACTGTATTTGCTAGAAACGAAAGTAGCTTGTAAATGCGAGATCATCCTTGTCTTACTTGAAATAATGTTTAATCATTTTACCTGTTATGGACAGTTATTCTGTGTACCCTCCTCCCCCCAAAAAAAAATTTGTGTATGTCATTGTTCTCGAATGAGTAGCTCTATTGCTAATAGTCCCAGCTTCCCTGATAGGACCAACGCAGGTTGTTTCATCAGCAATATTTATTCATTCAACAGAGTTTTACTGAATACCTACCTTGGGATGGCAACCTAGTGGGAGAGTTGTTAGGTGAAGGCTAGGCAGGTATGATTCGTAGCAACCCTATGTACAACAGAATGAAACACTGCCCTGTCCTTTGCCATCCTCACAGTCATGCCTACGATTGAGCCCATTTTGCAGCTTTCATCTCGTTGACCATCTTTCTCTCTTTTGCTGACTCCACCAAGCATGAGATACTTTTCCAGGGATTGGTCCCCCTAATGTGATGACATGTCTAAGGTACATTAGATGAAATCACCCCATCTTCGCTTCTAGGGTGCATTCTAACTGTACTTCTAAGATAGATTGGTACTTCTGCCATTCCATGGTATATTCAGTACTCTTCACCAACATCATACTTGAAAGGTATCCATTCTTTGGTCTTCCTTATTGATTGTCTAGTGGGACAGAATGTTGTGTAAATACATCTACGGAATGGGGAAGAAAAAGAAGTCAGTAAAGGCCCAGCCTTCATGATAGCAAAATTCTCTGCGGCCTTTGTTGAGCTGCTAGCCCTGCATTGTCATGTGTTCTTTCATTCAGGAAACATTGTGATCCAGGTTCTGTGCTAAGCCTTGAAGGTAGAAAGACAACTCTTTCTGTCTCTCCTTCCTCACAGAATTCTTCTAAACATCATGAACCTTAAAATGAACATGTGAAGTACATTCAAACCCTAAAACCCAGTGCTGTCAGTTCTGTTTCTATTCATAGCAACCCTATAGGGCAGAGTAGAACTTCCGCATTTGGTTTCCAAGGCTGTAAGCTTTATAGAAGCTAATTGCCACTTCTTTCTCTTGGTGATGGATTCGAACCACTGACCTTTCAGTTAGCCATCAACCCTTTCTTCTCTAGGACCTTGTTGTCTCTATGTCAGATATAGAGAATTAGAACTTTTCCCATGAGTGTGGTGAGACATAAATATGAAAAATGAAGAGATGTATGGGGAAAAAAAAAACAACTCAGAAATATAAGGGGGTTTCAAAAATTCATGGAAAAATGAAGTTAAAAAATAATGGAATTTCCATCAACTTTTTGAAGTTCTCTCATAAATATCACACAGCAGTTTTGAATGTTGTTTTTGTTAAATGTCAAGTTGGTTCCCACTCAAAGCAACCCTGTGTAGGGTTTCCTAGGCTTTTTAAATCTTCATAGTAGCAGAAAACCTCATCTTTCTCCCTCAGAGAGTTTCTGGTGGACTCAAACCTTGGACCTTCTGGTTCACAGTCCGGTGCTTATCGTATAGCTGATAATGCTTACCATGTCTATCTGTGGACTCTTGGTGTGTACTGTAGGATAAACTGGACTGCGAACTACAAGATCAGCAGTTCAAACCCACTAGCTGCTCCTCGGAAACCCTGTACAGGGTTGCTGTGAGTCAGAACTAACTCCACAGAACTTAACAATGCATGTCGTTAACTTTTCCAAATGCAATATGTGCATTAGCTGTTTTAATTTTTATAATGCCTCTTTGAGATAAATACTTTATTTTTCTCATTTCACAGATAAGGCAATTGAGAAAAGGAGAGGTTAACCTCTTGCCTGTACTCCTACAGCAAGAAGCTAAGTGAGTGAGCTCTTAACCTGTATGTTGTTTTACCAACAAAGCTATTGTTTCGCAAATGAGCTAAAATCGACTCATCTCAGTTGTATTTTGTCATCTATAAAAAGATGGCCTTTCAAGAATCCTGTGGTTCCTGTGAAATGTTTAGCCATTCAGCAAGCATTTATTTAAATAAGCAGTTACTTAGTGCAGGTCAGGCATTGTTTGTCTCTGGTTATCAGAATGCCTACCCTCATAGGGAAATTACAGCCTAGGGTTTATTGTTAGTTTCACTGAACTCATGTTTAGCACTTGCTGATAACATTCAAACTGTAACTTGAATCTTAAATTTCGCTGTCCTGTGTTGCTGTGGATTAATCCTGTGGATTAATGCGCCAGACTGCAAAGCCTTTTGAACTGCAGGGTCAGTGATTCAAGCTCACCAGCTGCTCCTCGGAAACCCTATACAGGGTCGCTATGGTTGGAACGGACTCAACGGCACTTCAACAATAACAACATGCTGCTTGACAACAACAAAATAAATTTTTTAAAAAATTTTTTTAATTAACTTAAATCTTCAGAATGAGAAATTACTTAGGTTAGTCTTTCCAGGTGTGGTGCTATGTGATAATGCACTGAACCACAAGGTTAGTGGTTCGAATTCACCAGCTGCTCCTCAGAAATGATGCTATACTGGGTCATTATGAGTCTGAACCAATTGGAAGGCACCAAACAACATCATCTTTCCACCTCAGCAAAAAGTCAAAGTTGTGTTAATTCTGCTATCCAGGTTTTAATCCTAGCTGTTTGGGG